TTTATATTATACAATTTCAATAAATTCGAAAAGAGCGATAATCAAAAATATATAAGATAGTTTTGTTAGTTTTGAAAAAATATGTATATAGAAAGATAAGTACATAAATATAAATTATTGACCATGACGTAATTCAATAGTACCTACATAATTATGCACATATAATAAATATGTAGAAATAACCTTAAAATATGAAATATAAAATTTATTATTGCTTCTCCAATATTTTTCATATTACCCTTTCAGGAAAAGAGAAACAAAATTGAGAATGAACAGTATAATAATAAATACGAACATCAAAAGTATTCAAAAAAAAAAAAAGATCTTAAGGCGATTTCAATAATATAAAAATTTCTGCTTCTGATCACGAGAAAACAAGAAATCAACCGAAATTTTTTTCTTTTACTTTGAATATTAATTCCGCTTAAGGATATTATGGAATATTTTTTTTTTTTAATTTAATAAAAGTTTCCTAATTTATTGTTATCCTTTTTTATTTTTTGTTTTCGTTTTTGTGTTTCTTTTTTATATTATACTCGTATATCTTTATTGAAATTCTTTTAAAAATTATAAAAATTTATTTAACTACTATGTACGAGTACATACATAACTATATATTGTGTATGTTTTACATATTTACATTTTAAGGATCACTTTTTTATTTACTCATTTTTTTTTTTTTATTTTTTTGTTTCAGAAATCAATGGAAAAGAAAATTGAAAATCTTAAAAAATTGCAACATTATTGTGATCGCCAAACAGGAAATTATATTTTGATATAAAAATAATTAAAAAATTTTTTAAGGTGTAGGGAATCAGACATCTAGAGTCCAAGAATGCAAAATATCAAATTAATAACTTTATATAAGATGAAAAATCCTAATAGCTGCTTACAAAATGTTGATAAAGAATAATCAAAGAATATTTAAAAGATTATCAAAGAATTGTTTTCAGTTTTTGTCACTATTTTCTTAAGCCAAAGGGCCGCGATGTTAGTTTTCCAAAAAAAAAAGAAATTCCTCTTCCTATAGTTTCTTTTATATTATACAAAAAATGTGAATAGTTTAAGAAAACTTTAAAAATTTCATGAAAATTTTTTATTACTTTTAATTCTCTTTTATTATTTTTCTGAAACTACAAAGAGTTGGAAATTTGCTATTGAATATGTGAACAATATTAATAATAATAATAATTAAATAAATTTCAAATTATGATGTGAAAGTAACAGTACACAAAAGGATATAAAGTACCAACCAACATGCTTTTTGAAAAAAAAAAAAAATTCATATTTTCTAATATTAAACAATTTAATTTTGCGATACAAAATATTTCGGTGAAATGACCTGATACTCAAATAGAATTTTTGCTTTATAGTAATAAATTTTATTTTCTGTTTTTGACCAGAAAAGCCCTTAAGACTCCTTAAAAAAAATATTTTCAATATTTTTTTTTTAAATCCCATATTTTCTTTTTTTCTTTTTTTTGTTTTATAAGTTTTGTTAAATAATAATATCAGTTAACAGAGAATTAATATTGATTGCTAATAACCAATAAAATTTTGTGCTCAGGATAAAATATTAATAAAATAAAAAAAAAAATGGGATAAAAGGATTTGGTTTTAAAAATTTATTGTTCTTTTGGTTATTTTACTTTTTGTTTTTGTCTAAAAGCAACAGGAAAATTATTTTTTAAGTTATTTTTAGGGAAAAATAAAAATTTGAAAATAGCTATGCACATATTTCGTTCAAAAAAAAAAAAAATATAAAATTTTTCTTTTACTAATTTTTTTATAATGTCATATAAAAAAAATAAAACTAATTTTTAATAAAGAATTTAGACCTTATTATAATAAATTGTAATATTTCATATTTAAGATGAAATTTTATTATTTTTGTGATCAAATATCTGTTCAATCCTATAAATGTAAATATGTAGGTAATACGACATATTTCTAACTAAAAATATATTATAGAGCGAAAGTTGATAGTGCTAAGTCTACTTAATTTACTAAACCAACTTAGTATTTACCTCTACTTCCATGTATAACTATATACATATATATATGTATATAGTTATACATGGAACGTTATATAACATACGTTATATAATGAAGTAACCAATAAATTAGCCAAAGAAAAAAAAATGAGAATACCCATATGAGCTTAGCTCCTTATTAAGATTACTTTAATTCACATACGAAAAAAAATCAAAGATTGCATAAATTTAGGAGGAGACAAACAAATATTGTAAGATATAATTATATTTTCTACTGTCATGGCACAGATATTTAGTTTGAAATTTGAAAAAGCCTGCAGTTTCGGAAATAGGTGCCAAAAATCAAAACTTACAAATTTCGGACGACAAAAGCTTGAGAGAGAGTACAGGAGGAAAAAAATTTTCTTCTAATGTAATGAACATGTATTTATTAATATTTAAAAGCTGCTTAAAATTTCAAACTCCGGCAACCTATAGTTTAGAAGAAAAACAATATCAAAAATTTTGGAAAAACGGATTTTAGATAACAGTAAATTTTAACGACCATTTTGTGCTTTTAAAGTTCAAAATGCAAAATTTTCAAAATGCTTATGGCTTCGCTACAATAAATAGTTAAAAAATGGCATTTTTATTGTTTTGGAAGATATAAATTTTAGAGGGGAGAAGATAAGTGAAAATTTTCTTTTACAGAAATAAGTTTCTAGTAATAATCTATGTACAATTTCAGCTTTCTATCTTTAAGGGTATAGAAGTTTTGTAAACATGTTCACGGACGGTTGCACGGACTATGAGTGAAACTAAAAAGCACTTTTTTTCAAAATTTTTCAAAATTGCCAAAAAGAGAATCTTAATTAAAGATATATGTGTTTGTATGTATGTACCTATGTCAAAATTAATATATGTACTTCTCAATATATACTATTACAAATTAATATGCCTACTATTAATCTACATATAAATAAAAATAGGTTTTTCGACTGTTTTAAGCTTAGAAGTGAAAATTGATGATCTGTAATGCGGTTATATTGGCTTCGTTGTTTTTCATTTATGAATTTATCAACAATTATGCTTGTTAATTAAAATTTTATAAATGTATTGCAAACTTTCACAAGAAATGCGTATGAGTAATGGCATTCTTGTGATTATAGCCAAAAACATATTTTATATTATTATAAGAATAATAAAATAATAATAATACGTGCAGTATTATATTATTGCCATAAGTAGGCACATACATATGTATATATGTAAATAACGCTAAACCTAAAAATTGTACCAATAAGGATGGTTCTTAAATTGAATGTCAAATTGAATAGTGAGTTTTTTATTGTTGCAATTGTTTATAATTATTTTAGTACTTCGGGAAAGAGCTTGTCTTTTCGAATTTTAAAATAAAATTACCCGTCTTGAAGAAAGTTTTGAAGCAATTTAAAAATTCTTAATTGATTCTTATTAAACAAAGATGATTGTACAAAGAGATAAATATATACATATAAACATACATATATTATACACAAGGCCATTTTTCATTAAAATGCTATGACGGGCAGCCGTTATGAAGTGGTTCCGGTTCACAGCCCGTAAATTGTGAAAACAAATAATAATTTATCAAAAGCAAAACACATAATATGTATGTACATATGTATGAATAAGGAAAAAAAATAACAGTTATGAAATTCTGCTACAAAAATTTCATTTTTATGGAATTACATGCGTATACATATATGCAACCTTTTAAAATTTTAAACTATCATAGCAGAAACATGTACTAATATTTATGGAAAAACAATAATTTTTGTATTTTACCGCCTAAAACATTTACAAATTGCAATATGTATAACACATTTCTAATGAACTTTAGAACTAAAAGTATAAAGTAATTTACAAACTTATATAAGGTTTTGATACATTTTATTGTAACAAAGGTTTTTTAGTGGATAACATGCGCAGAACTCAATTTCCTCTAAAATTTTCTTACAACAAACAATTCTTTGAATTTATAAATATTTTTTCCCCTATTTTAATTTCTGTAAAAGGCGTGGTCTCACTATATATATTAAATTACCTTAATCAATTGAATACCATAACAAATCATGGAAATTCAATTAGTTTTACTTTCCTATAGGAAGGTCATTGGAAAAACATCTGTTGAATTCTTTCTTCAAACTATCTGAAAACTAACTAAACTATTGTTTTTGAAATAGTTAATTATTAAAATCAGTTGCATAAACAGTTTAAAAAGCTCAATCCATTGATTCATCAATAAATCTTATAACATATTTTTTTTAAATACCTACATCGCTATTTATTTACACTTATATATCGTTACGAAATCAAATCCTCGTCAAAAGGCTATTACTAAGAAATTTATATAGTTAACGTTTGGTTGGTAGAATTTGCACAAATTATATATCTAAGAGAGCCTTAGTTTTATCGCAAAAATTTCGGTTAGTTTCACTCAAGAAGGAAAAACAGAAATGCAAATTTAAAATGTAAACAGTCTAACAGGTTGGTTTAAGTTCTTCTAATTCATATACTCAATAACTTAATTTAATAACTTAAAAACTTAATGATCCCGTTATTGTTATCCGTAAATTGTATATAAAGGCTCTTATTATGAAGAAAATATATAGCACGGCACACGATATTACAGATAGCAAACTGTACTATCAAAAATATCGTGTATCGTACGACATTTTTTCATAATAAGGGCTAATTACATATAATATCTTTAAAAGCTACTGCAACAGAAAGAAGTACTTAGAAAAAATCTAAAAATATACTTGTCAATATGCACAATCAAGGTTTAATTAATAATGCATTTATTCTCTAATTCATATTAAACTTAATAAGTACAGTCAAATATTTATTTTGTTATAGCTAATATTTACTTAGAAATTGTCTGTCAACCATTTAAAATTAATTCAATTATGAAAAAATCATTAAATACGACAAAATATCTTTATTAACTTTAACAAATAAAAGAAAAAATAAAAACGAACCATAAAATTTGAATTATCTAAATTTATTTCACTTTTAGAATCTCAGAATTACTATTAAAAAGTATGTTGGAGGATTGGGTACAAAAACATTTCCTGAATGTGATTTAAATATAAAATTTACAGTGCTTTTTTTAAATGTTTAAAATCCCCACAAATTGAATTTTGTTCTTACAAATTATATATTTAAATTAAGTTCTACAATTTTTTCTTATATTTGAATTAATTTAAAGTAATTACGAAATTTTCTGTCATGCTCACACCAGGACGACGTATTATTACAGCTGAATTTTCGATTAATATTTCTAAATTTTCAGTTTTGTGATCAGATTTAATTGTTGCAGTTTTAGGAATACTTTTTAAACCGGCAATAACAATTTTTTCTAGCCATGATTTGGTCTTATAATTTGGTTTATCAATAAAACGATTAGTTATAAGATTTTGTTTAAATTCAAATTCAATATAGTTATATTGTCCATCTCTATATTTATAGCTCTTTTCATCATCAATATATAACGTACCCTTAGCACTTTGTATTTCATCAAGGCAAATAACTAACGTGTACGGATCGTTTTTCATAAGAGTTGATGCTCTTCGTATACGTCCTTTTTTAGGAATAATAGTTCCTCCCCGTTGAAATACTGGAATTTTATTACTATTTACTTCTATAGAAACAAATCCACTCACATCATACTTTTGGTATGTGTCGATGTCATACCATATATCAGGCTTTTTATTTTCTTTTACTGGGAAATATACATCCACTTTAGATACTCCCGCTGACATTACCGGGCGGACTAATAAACGATCTTGTAATAAATGTTGCGAATCAATTGCAAAGCCGTCAACATCTTTGGGATAATGGGCAAGAAGAGGACGCATAACAGGCAAACCAAATCTTTCGTGCTCATAAAACATTGTGTACCACAAAGGTAAATAACTATAACGTTTCCTGATGGCTTCTCGAATTATTTGCTTTGTTGCTTCGCCGAACAACCACGGTTCTCTACGTTTTGTGTCGATATGCGCATGAGATCTAAAGAATGGTTGAAATGCTGCAGCTTGATACCAACGTTCTAGTAATTCTACATCTGGATTACCAAAAAATCCACCAACATCTGCTCCACAAAATGAATGTCCTGCTACTGCTTCGGCTAAACACATTTTTATTGATGCTTCCAAATGACCCCATTGAGCTGCATTATCCCCCATCCAAATTGTAGCATAACGTTGAGTACCAGCAAAATGTGAGCGACTAAGGATAAAAGGTCTCTGGTTTGGATCTCTACGATGCATACCTTCAAATGTTCCCATTACGTTCATATGACCATAAAGATTATGAACATTACGGTGCTCCCATCCACCATAATGTACGTTATCTTTGAGCATTGTTACTTCAGGTCCATTAAAGACAGAAGGCTCATTCATATCATTCCAAGTCATTACATCAGCAGTTACTATAATAACATTTTTATGACTAAAAAAGCTACCATAACTTGAAATTATAATTACCTGTTTTAAAATTCTCTAACTGATAAAGATCGGCCCAATATTTTCGAACTTCAGGATTAAAGTAATCAGGATAGCTTGCAGAACCTGGCCAACACCAACCTTCATAGTCGCTGCCATCTTTGTTTTTAACATAATAACCTCGATCAGTGCATTCATTATGCACAAAGTAACCTGCATCTCGTTTAATATGTGGATCTAAAATAATTGTGAGATGACGTCCCAAATCAGTCAAATTTTTAATCATTTTCAAAGGATTTGGAAATTTATGTGCATCCCATGTGAAATATTTTTTTCCGTCAGTATATTCTATATCAAGCCACATTGTATCCATTGGAATATCATGTTCATCAAATTTAGCTGAAACTGTTTCAACATCTTGCTCATCATTATAGTTCCATCTACACTGATGATATGCCAGTGCGAAAAGTTGTGGTAAATTTGCAACACCTGTTAAATCTGTATATTGCTTAAAGGCATCTAAAGGTGAAGGTCCGAGTAAAATAAAAGCATCAATTATACCACTTTCAGACATAAAGTGTCCAGATAATGGATCATTTTGTTTTGACCCTGAAAGCAATTGGAAAACACATAAGTTAAATTAATTATTAGTTCAAATGAATTCAAAAAAAGAATAATATTATAAGTTACGAAAAGCAAGCTTAAAAATATCGAAAATCTTAGTGAAATACACAAAATCAGTAAATTTAAGTTTAAAACAAAACAGTTGTTATAAATAATTAAGTTGAAAGAAATAATTATACTTTAACATTCTAATTTGATATAGAAATACATCCCCTTTTACACAAAAGAAATTTTTAGTTCATTATTTTTTCCTACATCAGTTATTGAACTTTGTTTTAATTCATTTCTGAGAAGAATGTTTTACAAACATTCTTCTCTAATCTTATTTTTTTTCGTGCATTTTTATATAAGAAATTTTAAAAAACTTTCCCTTGAATTTAAAACTCTAAATGACACAAACTCCATCAAATGTATTGCGACTTTCTTAAAAATTATAATGAAAAAAAAAGTCTTAAATATATTTACTTGAAACAAAATTCACTATGGAAGACATAACATTTTTCTCTGCATTTGAATTGTATATATCAACCCAAGTTTCCGCAGAATTCTGCCAAAAAACTCCAGCTGTTTTTTCAGGGCTAAAAAAAATTATTTGTTATTACTGAATTTGATATCTTATATATTTTAGAGTTACCCATGACCGTAAAGTACTGGAATTGAGCCATAAAGAGCCATTCTGCTATCCAGCTCAAATTCAAATACATCTAAGTTATACAAGCGATACGGATCTCCGTTATTGGCAGTATGCTTTAAGGCAAATGAGTCTGCATGTTGCGGAATTCCAAACAAAATTAATGCTTGAGGAAATGAAAAATCCATAGAAATGGCTTCTGGTCCATTTGGTTTAGAATCATGGTGTGATTTAAAGTTTTCTTCCCAAGCACCAGGATCTTCATTTGTTAAATCTTTGACATTTGCATCATTTTGAGATTGTTCCTGTTGTCCATTTTCATTACCTTGCTCTTCATTTTCATTTACTTGTGGTGGAATCACTTTTCTTCTTAGTTCTTCAAATCTCATCAACCCTTTAGCATTAGCTTGCACGGTAAGAACATCATTTTGATAAAAATCAATTCGAAAAGGATCAGCGTATATTATAGCTTTATTTGGTCCCGATGTAATGACGAATTCACCTTTATTTTGTTCTTTGGCTTTAATTCTAAAAGTAAAAGTAAGAGATATACGTTTCTATATCGATCAAGTATAACGAACAACTCACACATCAGGCAACGGGTTTCCTTTCAAGGCATCAGTAACTTTATAGCGAGGTTTAAGAGGAGTCTTTTCATCAATTAGTAAACGAAAAGTGTTACTCTAAAATCAAATGGCAATTGCACGAATAAAATTTTGTATTGAATATAAATAACACAATACATACCTTAATAGCCTCCAATTTAAAAGTAAACAAATGGTTTGTTTCTTTATTTATCAAATCCGCTACAACAGAGTCTGAATATGTGTTAAGAGATCCTGCAACAAGAGCATAAGGAGAACTTCCAGGCGTTACTCCCCGTAGCCGCCTATTATGCCATGAGTTAAAAAAAATATAATATTAAGGTCCAAAAGAAATATTGAAGAAAAAATCCATACTATCTACCTGCAGAAACTGCTTTTTTCACATGTTTTGAAATTTCCATGGTCGACTGCCACAACTAGACAAAACGCTAGAAACGAGCACAAAAACGCAATATGCAAACGCATTTCGAATCTAAAATTTGAACAATAAGTTTATTTATATTTTTTCTCTCAATATTTTTTTGAACTAATTTTAAAACAAAATTGTAAAATGTTTGCTTTCATTTATAAATAAAAGAAAAGAAATTGTAATTCCAGCTACAATCTAATCTCACTTATGCAACCTAAAATTGATTTTGGAAAATTATTACAATGTAGATAGATATACAGGTTTCAGCTTGTAAACCTACATACTTATATGTATTACGTATTAGATATGCAATTTTATTCTTGTATTTTCTTTTTTAAGTCCATCTTTAATTTTTATTCAATTTTTACATACATAAATAGTTCGTTACATGAACATTTAAACAAAGAACAATAATTATTACATAAATGAAAATTTTGAATAAAACATGTACAGAAAAACTTACGAAAAACTATCTGATTTTGGTGAAAATTATGCCTAATTTAATAATTTACGTGGTAAGTTATCCAATAAAATTTTGATATCCGTTTTTATTAATAGCCATATAAGTTTTACAAATTTGTAAATATTTAAAAGACTTCCAAATCAGTTAATAATTTGATCGATTTTTTTGAAAAACGGAAATAAAATTAATTTTGTGATTTAATCACCACCGGTAAAATAAAACTGGATAAATCACAAATGCAAATTTAAATTGAAAATGACAATTATTAAGCACACGTCATTGCGACATTTACGTATGTTTTAAAATATGACCTTGACCAGTGCAGGTAACAAAATTACAAAGTACTAAAATTTGATTTAAAAACAAATTTTGACAAATACTTGTACATTTTTCAAGTTGAAAGAATTCAGTTTGAAAAGAAAAATTAATATTTTAAATTTAATTGAATCATGAACGCATTAGCCTAAAAAAATTGAGTGCCCGTCTAGCATTCATTTTGGCTTTTGATAGAGCTTCAGATAAAGAAACATTTACTTCGTTTATGTATGTACTTAACTTAAGAATAAAATTTCTTGATGTCTACTTGAGTTTCATGCTTTTTATCCACTATTTAACTTGATTCCTCAGCACGTTGAAAACATAATAAATTTTCTACACTTTGAATCGTTAGTAGACTACTTGGCTTTAATTTGAAGTCAAGTAGCGTTTATATGAACGCGAAATCCGAGAAAAGGTACAAATTGGAACACATGTATAGTTCCAATTTGTGATCCCGATTTTGAAAAACAAATGGATGTTTTCCACCGTACGTATGTGGATATTATTTATTTTAATAATTAAAAGAAACGTTTATTCAATAGTCTTACTTTTAATTACATAAAAAAAAAATATGTTCAGTTCAAGAGCAGTAAAATATTGTAATATAAAAATATGTATTTTTTATTTCATTTTATAAATGAACTGGTTTTTTTGAAAGTGGTATAAGTCCATTTTTTAAAAAGACTAAGTTAATGATAATTTTAGTGAGTTGTAGACACCTTCTCTCCACTATTTACAATTACAATTTGAACAGAGTTCTGTGTAGACATAAAAGAAACAAATTATGTTATTATGACCAATATTTTTAAATGGATTCAAACGCAAGCCTCTAAATATATGAATATATAATGAAATTGACTTATAACACTTTCAAAAAAACCAGCTCAAATATTTCAAAGAAAAAGATATCCCAAAACATTTTTTAAGTTTTTACTTTCAAAAAAAAATTTTAACGTAATTTTCTTGTAAAATATAAATAAATTAAATACGCTCCTGAATCGTCTTTGACAATACTTGGAACAAAGAAAGAGAGAACAAGAAAGAATTTGAATTCATTGTTTTTTAAAAATGCTCCGTTTTTAGTATTTCTAATTCGTTGCTACGTACAATGTAGCAAAAAAATTACAATAGATTCAACCCTTATAGCAAGGCTATATATTTGACGTAAAAAAATTTAATAAATAAAGAAAACCAAGCAATGTGAAAAATAAATAATTATTCAAATAAATAAAAGCGTTTTAAAATGGGTATAGAAAGCAACACGAAGGAGTTGGAAGAATCAAAGGCCGAGGAGTCACTTGAAAATGAAAAGGAAATTGAAAAAAAGGAAATCGAAGAAATTGAAAATTTTATAAAAGATTTGGAAACGAAGATACAATTTAAAGAAAATTTAAGGTCGGAAAATATAAAATGTGTTCTTCCATCCGAAAATTCTTTCAGCCGTTTAGATTCCAGTTTAAAAAAGAATACAGCATTTGTGAAAAAGTTGAAACAATTCACTGCCCTGCAACTAGATGGTTTACTAAAAGATATGGCTGGCTTAAACCTTAGTAAATATATATCGGAGATCTGCGTTTCATTATCAGAAGCTAAACTTAAGATGACAGATGTTCAAGCTGTAGTGTCTTTAACTTCTAAATTACATCAGACTTATTCAGATTTTGACCAGCAGTTCTTAGAAAGTTGGCAAAAAATTTTAGCTATAAAAAGTGGAGAGAAAATAACGAACCCAAGCAAATTAAGGGTTGATTTAAGATTGTTTGCTGAGCTTGTCAGTTCTGGTGTTATTAACGGTAAGCAAGGTCTATCTTTACTAGGAAATGCATTGACCAACATTATATCACAAACAAAAGACGACCACAGCAATCTATCAATAATATTATCCTTCTGTCGCCATTGTGGCGAAGAATATGCTGGACTTATTCCGAAACATATATTGGATATATCAAAAAAGCATGACAAAACAATACCGAAATCGAATTTCTTAACACCTGAGAAGCAAACTAATTTAAAAAATCTTTTAAAAGATTACTACAAGACTTTAATAAATCACTTATTATGCGAACATAAAGAACTTATGGCGATTACCAAATCTTTTCGCAATGTAATGAAATCAAAAGGAGAAATATCTAACGAGGGAAAAGAAAAGTGCGAGCTGATGCAGGCAAACTTCGATAAATTGTATAATTCTGCAGTAACCTTGTCAGATTTATTAAATGAAAATATGCCTGAGCTACCAAAAGATAGAGAAACTGGATCTTCCGAAATAGTTTTGGACACATTAATAGAAGATCAGTTCTCTGGCGAATTAGATCCTTGGGGTGACGAGGATACAAAAATTTTTTATTGTGATTTACCAGATTTGCGACAGTTTCTTCCAAATTTTTGCGCTCCCAAACAAGATTTGATAGCTGTTGAGGAAGAGAATGCTTTATCCGAAGAAGCTTTAGACATGGATATTGAACCAGAGCAACTAGAAGTAGATGACCCCCCATCAAATTCTTCTGATTTACCAGCAGAAAAAGAGGAAACATCTGAAACATGTGAAGAAGAAAATAAAAATCCCCCTTCAGCTCCTGCAGTTACTAACCATACTGAAAGAATAAATACAAAAGCAAATTTTGACAATTTTCTTAATAATTTAAATAATTGTGTCAATACCGAACTTATTGATTCAGCTGCAATCGAATTTTTGCTTAACTTCAATACAAAAAACAATCGAAAAAAACTTACCAAAGCACTTTTTGGAGTTCAACGAACACGTTTAGATTTACTACCATTTTTATCTCGTTTTACGGCTATCATAAACATGGTAAATCGCGACGTAGCGGTTGATTTGGCTCATATGCTTAAATCCGAATTCAAATGGCATATACAAAAGAAAAATCAAATGAATATTGAGTCTAAAATAAAAATTATAAGATTCATTGGAGAGATGACAAAATTTGGTTTATATTCTAAAATTGAATCATTATTTTGTTTAAAAGTTTTGTTGCACGATTTTCAGCACCATCAAATTGAAATGGCTTGCGCTTTTATAGAAGTGGCTGGTATATATTTGTATAATTGCAGAGATACACGTTTAAGGATGAATGTGTACTTGGAGCAGATGAATAGGCTCAAAACTAATACAGCTCTAGATTCTAGACATGCAGCGCAAGTGGAAAGTGTTTACTACTTGGTGAAACCCCCGGAATCAATCGAAAAGGAAAAAGTTCAAAGACCAATACTGCATGAATATATTCGGTAATTCTACAAGTATGGTTTAAAAAGCTATATTAATTTTATATTCTCATGTTTAAGGCATTTAATTTTTGAAGAGCTATGCTCATCAAATGTAGATAAAAGTATAAAGCTTATGAGACGTCTAAATTGGGATAATCCAGAAGTAAGCTCATATGCAATCAAGTGCTTGTCAAAAGCTTACTTATTGAGATTTCCATTAATAAGGTGTTTGGCAGATTTAGTTTCTGGTCTGAGTTCTTATCAAGAAAAAGCAGTAACAAAAGTTATTGACAATGTTTTCGAAGACATTCGAGCTGGTTTGGAAATTCATGCTCCAAAATTAGCGCAAAGACGTATCGCCATGGCAAAATACTTAGGCGAATTGTACAATTATAAATTAGTGGATTCAACTAATATATTAAATACATTGTATTCTATTATCTCATTAGGAGTTTCAACAGAAGAAGGTGTCATATCGCCCTTGGATCCACCCGATAGTTTATTCCGCTTAAAATTAGCTTGCGTTCTTTTAGACACAAGTGGACAATATTTCACAAGTAGTGTTAGCCGAAAAAGGTAACTTTTATTGATTGAATTAAGCAATATACTTATTTTGTTTTATTTAACAGACTTGATTATTTTTTGGTATTTTTCCAACATTATTACTGGTACAAAAAATCAAATCCAATCTTTAGCCAAGAAAATAATTCGAGCGACTTATTTCCAATTTTAATTGATCATATGTACAGAGACTGTTTACTAAATGTTAAACCAAAACTGAAATTAATCAAAAGTTTTGATCAAGCTAAAGAGGAAGTTGATAAATTAAAAGCTGAAGTGTATCCACAATTATTGGCAAATAATCAAGATGGTGCAGGTGACAACGAAGTTAATAATAGTCTACCTCCAATAAAGGAGGATGGCGAACTGGATGAGGTTTGTTTGCAATATTTATTGCTATTAATTTTCAGTTTTTATGTCTATTCATCATATATAGATGACTGAAGATAACACATCCGATGCCTATGCAGAATCTGATGATGATATTCGTAATACTAACCTAGATGAAGATGAAGGAGGCGACGAAGGCCTAAGAGAGGTACGTTATTTAATTTAACATATGTTTACTATATTATTTCAAGTCACTTCAATTATCAAATTAATTTGACTGAAGCGACTTATGCGTTTTTTGAATTAAGAACTTTGAAAATGGATTTTTAGGCGTCTCCAATCGAAGATTTATTAGAAGACAACACTTCTCGTCAACCAACAGCAGAAGATTTGGAATTTGAAGAAATGTTTGAAAAGATGACAGCCGAAAGTTATCAAGAGCGATTACGAGATTCCATTAAACCAACAACAAAAGATATACCAGTTCCAATGATGGCAAAAAGTAGTAAAAAGACATACGAACAATTGCAATCGGGTAACAAATTAGGAGGTTCGAGTAACAGTTCATCTGATATTAATAAGGATCAAAAAGCAAAAGATGGAGTTTCTTTTGTGCTAATGATGCGAAGTGCTAAAGGTGGCAAACAGCAATTTAAAACATTTAATGCCCCAGTTGATAGTGATTTGGCTGTAAACTTAAAACTTCAAGAACAAAAGATACGGGAAGAAAATGAGAAGGTTAAACGTTTAACCTTGAATATAACCGAACGTATAGAAGAAGAGGATTATCAAGAATCTCTTCTTCAACAGAAGAATCAACTTCAAAATAGATTTCAAAAAAATAGACAAGCAAAGTTTAAACATCAAAAAGGTGCACCTGATGCTGATCTGATTTTCAATTAGGAATTAAATTAAATTAACTGATGAACTCATGATAAAATGGATTGATATTTAAATATGATGATTATGAAGAAGAAATTAGTCAAAATCAAAATAAAAGGAAGTCGCCAAACAATGTAGGAGCAAATAAGTCTTTCGAGAAATTCGACATTAAGAAAGATTGCATTGAAATACAGATGTTCGAAGTTTTTGCAAGAAAGTATATATTAAAAGTTGATCCGAAAATTGTTTTTTTTTTGCATTATTGTAATAAATTAATTTTAATAAAATCTGTTTACTTTAAATTTTGAAAATGTTAAAGTCAACAAAAAGTAAAAAAGTCCATAAAGTAATGTCCGAACTTAATTTTAAATGTGTTTTTCTTTTTGCTCATCGTTTTCATAAAACTATCACAACTATATCAGCAAATTTAAGCCAAAAGAGATGCTTCCTCCATTATGAGGGGGTAATGTAAAAAAAACGAATATAATTCCAAAAAGCAAAATTTTGAAAAGGATAAGTTACTTTTGAAATTAATTTCATATTAAGTAGCAAAATAAATAGTTATTTGCATGAAAAAAAGTGAAACAAACTAAACAGAAATTTTAACGATTATAAAAATCTATCTAAATGAAAAAATAAATTATTTTGATTGATAAGCGTGTTGAATTATTGTAAATTATATTTATTCATGATAAAATTTTTCCCTTTTATAAATAAAATTGTTTTTATTTTTTATTTTCTGTTTCAATGCTATTTTTCTTCGGATTAATTTTCGCATAATTTCTATTAACTTAAAAATTATTCAATCTTAAAATATGCATCAAATTTATATTTATAAGCATTATATAAGGAGCACTTATAGCACTTTATAATATCCAAGAGCTTTTAAAAGAAACCCACCGAACCAGCATTGCCTTCCCTACATCAGACTAAGCCACTCATCAAAAATCATTGAAAAGAAATTTAAAAAAAACATAATAAGGAACAATTACAAAAGTTATAATGAAAAGAAAACCTGTATCTACATATATGATTACAATTATTATTAGCTAGGTACAACTAAATTTGAGCGTGTAATAGTAAAATTATATTTAATTTTAAGTTAATCAGCAATTGAGACCATTTAGCAAACTTTAATAGAAAATTAATTTAATTTGTTTAATGGAAATGTAAAATATTGTAAATGCTAAGGAATTTCCGAGAACAGTATTTGGCTAAAGATTTTCAAAATATTTTAAAACAGAAACATAATAGAACAAATATAGAAAGTAAACGCAGTGTTTTAATATTCGTTTGAACGTTTCATAATTAAGGGATAGAAAAAGTGGTTGAAATCAAAACAAAATCAAAAAATTTTTTAAAATATTTTTGAAATTTTTTTTTAGGTTTAAAGTCTGTCGAACTACCACAATTATTAAATTCTTATTTGCCAATTTAAAATTTTTAATACTAATGAGATGTTTTAAATTTGTTAATTAAAAGTTTATAATTGATTGTACAAACCCTGCATGCTTTGTAAGGTAAAGTAAATTTTCTTTAAAATATAGAACGTGATGTGAAAGACTTTTAAATAAAAATTATTGAAGATTGCGTTTACAACTAAAACATTTTTTCCCAGATTATATCCTGTGAAATATATTTCGGCAAATAAAGAGACACTCTTGGGCAAATAAACTTTTTAACAATAATATTTTACTTTGAATTCTTAAAGTAGAGTAGTAGAACATTTAAAATGAAAATGAACATTTTTGTTCTTTAAGTTTTAATTTTTAATAATTTACTAAAATAAAACAATATTTTCTATATAATTTAATGAAAATAATATATTTATATACACATAAAAAAAAATATTAATTTATCATTTCATTTTGGTGATATTCTTAATATTTTGTTTTGTTAAATTAACATTATAATTTCATAAACACAATAACATTGTTTTTTTTTTGTTTGTTTCAATTTATTAATTATTTAATAAAATAACAAAATGTTTGTCATTCATATTTTATATTTATTTCTGATTTCTTTTTTCTTTTAATTTTATTTATACTTAGCACTGTTTTACTTTAAATTATAAAAATATTTTTACTCTTAAACTCAGCTTGAAAAAAAAGAGAAATAGTAAAAGTTACTATAAAATATTGTTTTATATAAAAAATTTTATAAACGAGTTTTATTCCCAATTTATAATTAAATATAAGCTTATTATATTTTATAGGAATAATATTGATTTTTTTTTTCGTATTTATGAATGCCCTATTTAATATTTCCCAATTTTTCTACATTTTTATGAAATATATACAAACTTAATATTTTAATTAGCAAAATTAAAGAAAAATTTATTTTAAAAACATAAGTTATAAAAAATATATTATTTTAAAAAAATGTATTATGGTTTGAAATATTCATTATTAAATATAAACTACAAAAATACTTTAATATTTTCATTAATTTTACTAATCAAATAACTTTCTTCCTACATTAAAATTTTTAAAGGTTTTTACTTCCTGCTACACGAAAAATTTATAAATTATTAATTGAATTGGTAAAAGTTTTATTCCTGAATATCAAAATTAATTATTTCAATTAAAAATTTTTTTGTTAAGATTTTAGAAGTTTTCTAAAAATATTAAATAGAAGCATTCAACGGCATTCCAATTATTTAACTAATGAGTTTTTTCTTAAGAGGGTTTATTAATTCGAAAATGAATTTAGTTTTTATTATCTAAACGTTTTATCTTTAAACTCCAAAATTTTCAATTATTGAATTTTTAATACGAATCGAAAAGCAACTCTTAAATATATTTTAATGAGATTAATTCTTATATACATAATGTATACTGATATCAAATAAAAATGAAAATATAGAAATTATTTAAAATAATTTTAAAAGAAATTCAAAAATTTAGAAATATTTTAATGGTAAATATTAAAATCAGATAATAACAATAAAAAAAAACTCAATATTATGTTAAATTTTTTAAATTTTTATAAAAAAATTCTTCGTGGACGGCAACTTACAACATTTAGACTTGGCCGTCTTTAAAAGAAAAATATAATATATAAAATTCCCAAAAATTTAAATCGTTTCATAAGAAATCATCACTTATTTATTAAAACAAAAATTTTGTTTTTCATCAATTTTTTTATCGATTTCGCGCTCTAATACTGAAAAAAATGTTTCTTAATCACATATTTACATAAAATTTAAATGAAAAATTTGCAAATGTATATTATTTCCTTTTTTTTCTTTCAATGATTTATATATTTACTATGTATAATTAAATATTTATTTAAATGTAATATTACTTAAATTAAATATAATGTATGTATATTATAATTTTATTTAATAGAAGTCATAAAAATATTTACACTTTCAAAATTGGCGTTTTTGTACCTCACATATAAAAGAATTTTTGTTGCACATAATATATGCAAAAAAATCTAAAATTAAATAGTTCTAATTGAAATTAAATACTGCTTATTATTCAAAATATGTGTATGAATGTAAAGGAAAAGTTGTTATTTAAATTTTACAACATTATGTGTTACAAAATTTTTGATTTTACGTAAATCTCTTTTGTTATCAATTCCTCTTATATTTTGTCATTTTTTAGCAGCATTTGTGTGCAAATGGGATTATGTACCCTTAAATATTATAATCTTTTATATTTCTTATATAAAAACAAAAAATTACGTATAATGATATTTATGTGTTGTCTATATAAAAAGTAAGATTCGTTCGTATTTTTAATATTTAGCAAAATGAAATTTTTTCTTAAAAAATAAAATCAAATAATGCATTCTAAATTGATTAATGTAAACATTTAGTTTTAAATATGCATAATATTTGTGCTGAAATATTCAAATTATATTATTTGAAAGCTTAATGAAAAGAAGAATTTATTTAATATATTGAAAAAAAAACTGCTTATATTAAAAACTATTTAATTATGTCTTAGGAAAATTTAAAGAAAAAATTATAAGTATGTATGGTAAAATTATTTCTGTATAGTATAATATACAATTAATTTAAATTCCAAATTTATATATGTAACTATAACTGATAAGACTAACATTTCTTAATATTTATCAATCTTTTGCATTTATTTTATAAATCTATATATATCATAGTATAATATTTATTATGTAATAATTATTTATACAATATTATGTGAAGTATAAATGTGGGATAAAAACCATTACTGCCTTAAAAATAATACATAATTATATAAAATGTGATACAAGGAAAAAGTTGGAATATCGTACAAGGTCGCAACTTTAATAATAATATTGATACTATAATTAGCTAATTACTAATAACAATATTTAATATTAGCTAATTACTTAAAAGAAAGCAATACCTTTTTTCAGCTTTATTGTATTTGCCTTCAATACCTTCATTATATTTTCTTTGTTGTAATTAGATACATATATTGAAAGCTTAATATGCTTATTTTAACTTTTGCAGCGACTTGGGTACTGTGATAATAAAGTTTAGAAGCATAAAAATTAACATATTTTTTTCAATTTAGTTTTAATTTGTAAGAAAGCTTGAAAATATTTTTTAAGCTCTGACATAAGTATAATAATTTTAGCCTTTAACGAAACATTTTGCTATTGCTTTATTCTGGCTGGTTTGATTGGAATGTACAACATATATTTTCTAGATCTTATAAATTAATTTTGTTTTTTTATTAAAGTTTTTCTACTGTATAATTAATTGTACATTTTAGCAATGATTTGTTGTGGCTAAGTTATTTTAAAATTAAAAAAAAAATTATATTCAATTTCTTCTATTAACATTTTTAATACGTATTCCAACTTCTAAAATATGGTTTTCATTTGAATTCAAATTCCTTCTTGTGATTGTCGTCGCTGAATAGTCATGAGGACCACCAACGGTATGACGACGTTTTATTGAACGATTCTGTTTATTTTGAATTTGCCGTTTTTTTGTTAAATTCATATCAGTCTTTTCGTCTTTTGTCAAACTATTCGACATATTAGAATTGTTTCCTCCATTAACGCTGCCATTTCCAGAACCACCACGTGAAGAATAATTTCGGCAATTAAATGAAGCGGAACGAAATAAACGATAGTCACGACGTTTTTTGTATCGTTCCAAAAATAAAGGAGACATAATTATAGCTTCTTTTGGATCACTAGTTGTAGATACTTCTGAATCATCTGAACAAGATTCATAAACCGATGAAAATCGTTGATTGTTGATTCCCGAAACATTTTTTTGAATATCACGAATAAAATTTGCACTACGCGCTGATATTGGTAAGCTTTTCAGAGGTGTCGAGATTTTTTCGTTTGAATTTGATTTAATAACGTTTTTTGATGATATCAAGTGACGTTCGGGTGACTCATCTGCAAAAGGTATATTTTCATGTAAAATTAAAGGTTGAGGAAATGTCCTACGTGTTTTATTTGGACTATTTTCCGATGTGTCGTCAGTTGATTCAGAACCACTGCGTAGACTACGAAGTTTACTGTCTAATGCATCAGTTATTGTTGTTAACGACATCGATCCTAAAACGAAATTATTTAATAAAACAACCTCAAATTAAGTCTTTTTCGTAAGAAAACATTTCTAAATAAATAATGTAAAAATATTATAGTATTTTATTCAATATTATATTCTAATACAATCTAAATTTTTGATTCTCACCGGTGTCACTTAGTCTGCTATTGCTTGAATCTTCGTCTGTTAAAAGAATAGATATTTCTACACTACTTCTTTCTGCTTTTCTACTAGTGTTGCTACTACTACTACTGTGCACGATATTCTCTTTCATTGATGTTTCAGAAAATTTTTTATACTCAAGTGACTGCAATGAAAATTTTTATGAATATTTTGAATAGATAACAACGAATTAGTTATAAAATTCTATTTTAAATTTCCCATACCAGTACACTTTCTCCAGAATATGTATCAGATCCCACTGCGTTACGTTTACTATGTGTGCGTCTTCTTAAATGTGGAATAAGTCTTGATGTTAAAGATTCTTTATCATGTAAACGTTGCTCGATTTTCGAAACATTATCCAGCAGTAAGTTAGTTTGGTCGGAATATGTAGATGTTGTAATAATTGGTGGCGAATTCGCTTCGGGCAGGTCACCATTTTCAAAAAAATAGTCATACTGTAAACATATGTTTGAAAATTAAAAATGATGAAATTTTGTAAAAATTTCGGTCACCTGTGAAACAAGTAATTCAACGATACGACACTGATGTTTCATATCTTTAACAGCCATATCTAGAGTTTCGTTGGGTATACGAATAATTGAAGGTCCGAAAATTATTGCCAAATTTTTTGGCTCCATTAAATTAATCTCACAGTTTTTGCTAACGCGACTTAAATGCCTTATTATATGTTTCATTGTTTCATACGAATGCGGTGGTAATGTAGTTAACAAATAACATAATTCCTTAAGGCGTCTCTCACCACATTTTTTATCAGCCTCTATGAAATTGATATATGATGTTCCCGGTAATAAAGCATCTGGCAAACTTCTGATGAATAACTTCAACAAACTGGATACGACATTAACATCGTCCCAACGTAAATCTGTATCGACTGAATCCCATTGGAAATCGCTTTTATTTACCTGTTCTTTCAATTCTGATATAGCTGCTTTATTACCTGGTATACGGTAAATACCAACAACTTGAAGGCCTTTCTTTTCAACGATTTTTGCGCATATGTCAACAATCATTGGAACGAATTCGTTATCTTTCGACTAGAAAAAAAATAAAATCATTTTCAATCTTAATTTTAGTATTGAACAAATTATATTCGCCACTGCAAGTTTATTTTCGCAATAAATAATTTTAGAGTACTCAAAAACTTAAATGATAACTGCAAACTAATAACAAAAACAAATTAAATTTAATTGCCTTTTACGTTCTTTTATATTTTTTTATTTTATGGCAAAATAAAAAAATATAAAACTTTTATGTATACCGTTAAAACAAAATTTTAACCGAAATGAAAATTAATTTATTCGTTAAATATCAAAAAATTATCTTAGGAATTTAATAACACCAATAACATAATGTTTACGGCAGTTTTTAAAAATAATTTCTTACCATTGGACATAATTTGAGTGGAACTCCAATAGAACCAACATACTTCGGCGGTTCTACAACCACAGATGTCGAAGCTTCAGTATTTCCTGAATTATGTGTTCTTCGAAATAATAAATCTTTCCAATTTTTTGATTTTGGTGACCCTAACTCTTTCTCAGGTAAAATTTTTGAATGCGGTTTACGAGATTTCATAACTGGTGAAATCGAATCCACAGTTACATCTGAGTTTAGAACTCCATTACTTAAATTAGCTGATTTTACGTTTGACAATGGGGAGTATTGTTTAATCGATGTTTGCTTTACGACATTCGTTGTTGTTTCTTCAAAATATGTGGATGTACTAGAGACTCCTGCAACTTTATTTGCCTCTAGTGGATTTGTTGTTGTAAAATGTTGAATATTCTTAAATTCAAAAATAAAATAAATAAGTTTTATTAATATTATTATTCCAAAATACCTCCTCATTTTCACATTTTTCTTGTAATAAACCAAACAGCTTTTTCATATCACTTGAATTCTTCGTTTTAAATATAATTTCAGTATATTCGTTGTTTGCCGATATCGCAACATCTGTGTTACTAGAAGCCAATGTTGCATCTGAATGTTCTTGTTGACGTTTTACATCTATTTCACTGTTCAACAGTGGTTTCGATTGCAAGCGGAATACAAATTTTTTCTTATCCACCGTTTCATCTATTACACTAAATCCCTTCACATTTAAATCTATCACCTGAAATGGAATAAAAATTATTTTATTTTATTATGAATGAATTTCAGTTTATTTCTAATATAACTTTTTATAAAATGATTTTTTTAGATCAACATCAAAATGAATTCTTACTTACATTGTTATCAGATTTTGAACTTCGAATTAAATAAATTTTTAAATGATCACCATTTAACTCAATTTTGACATGCCTCCACGATCGATACTCGGTTATCCTCTTAAAACAAAAATATATGGATAAATTTTATTTATTCAAAATATTAAGTTCAACGCTACCTTGCCATAAATACTTGACGATTTCATCTCCATTTCCGTTTCATAATAATCAGTCATACATTTTGTGTCATTTTTATAAGTTACTGTAGCTAAATCTTTTTCCATGACATCGCTAAAATTGTTTCAACCAAATTTAAAATAATATCTAGTCATTTAATTTTAATATAACTTTTTTACCATTTTTGAAGTTTTTCTGTTTGTACTGGTGCCACTTCGTCTTCTTTTTGAATTTGATTGTCGAACTGCTTTTCAATATGCTGCTTGAGTTTCATTTCTTTTTCTGGTTGCTCACTACAAATATCACTTGCAAGCTCAATCTGAAAATCTCCTGTTTCATTATTTGTTGCACGCAAATACGATATTCGTCGCATTGGTTTGTTCTCTTCATAAAAATTCTTAGCCTTTACTCGCCTTATTACATCTGTATACGGTTCTAAAAAGCATGTAATTTGCAATATAGGATTTTTAATACATTTATTTTTGTGAAATAAATCATTACTCGACAATGGCTGAAATTCATCATTTGACTCATAGTTTTCTGTCACGATAAGATATTGTTTTTCATTTTCTGTCAAAGGTTTTATCGCATTTTCAGAGCTATTTCGATTTTTTTCCTGTTCTTCTATTTTGTTTTGCTGTGAAGGCATAATCAAATCGTAATTTTGAATTTTTGTTCCTTCAACTTTTATTATAGTTTTTTGCTCAGTTAAAATATCATTGATATTACTAGAGCTAGTATTGACAGACAATTGTTTAAAAGGATCAAAAGTTTTAGCTAGATTTGAAACTAATTTTCTCTCAAAACTGCAAAATAATAATGACCAAATTATTTACATTAATAAAACGAAAAAAAATTAACATACACTTGGTTTGTAACGCCCATTTCAGGCAAAGATTCTAAAAAAGCCAACTCCTTTTGAAATTTATCTTTTATCGATGTGTCTGTTCCTACATTTAGGTTAGTAATGTGATTATTATAACTTCGTTGGTTTTTATTTAAATGATTGGTTGATGTAGAATGGTTCAATATATCTTCATTGTTTACTGTATTTCCTAATTCAAAATGTGTCGGGGAATTTGTCGTTCTTATATGGATTACTTTAGAGCCTGGTGTAGTTGAAGTAAACTGATTACTATTTCTATAGAACCCACTTAAACCACTGTTGCAAGAAGCACCAAAAGTTCCTACATTATTTCTACCCATTAGAGTACTACTATTATTACCAAATGCACTCAAAAATTCTTTTTCACTTTTTGTAAACTTATTTGAAGCCGAATTTGTATTTTTCGTTTGGGATGGTACCAAAATTTTGTTTTGAGTAGCTGTTGGAATAGACGCCGTTGATGAAGGATGTAACTCTTGAAGTTCGTGCTGATAACTCAATGTTTTATTGTTAATGACAGGTTTTAAAAATTCTTCCTTTTGTTCAATACTTTTACGCAAACGTACCATAAATTCATCATTATTTGGTTTTTGTAATACTGGTAAATTCTGTGGTTTTGGCCTTAAGAAAATATATTTAATAAAGATTTTATATTCTTGAAAATGTTTTATAAGTGTTTGATAGAGAACATTCAAAATTTAAAAACAATCAATATTGTTACTTACCGTAACTGACATTCTTCTAAAATATACTCTTCACTTCCAAATGAGTGCGTAGATTTTTGTAAATTTGAAATTGGCTGATGTATTGTAGTTGCAATTGTTGGACAGCCTTCAGGTGAATATGAGATTAATCTTGAATGAAAGTTATTGTGCGTAGTTGATGTTATGGGCATTAATGGGCGATCAATGTCAATTGTGGACCGATTTGTCTCAGGATTATGAGCTATGTCTGTATAATACTATAGAAAATGTAAAAAGTATAATAAATAATATCATAATTTATTTATATAAAAACGCTTGAATAATTTTTTTATTTACCATTTGTAAAATATCACATTCTTTCGGTACTACTTGTAATTTTAAAACTGTGAGCGTTTGTTTTATCATAGATACAATGGTATTATATGATATACCGGCAACCGATATATTATTAACCATCAAAATCCGATCGCCTGTTTTTAATCCAGCCGTATAAGCTGGGCCATCTGGATGAACCTCTTTTATAAAAATAGTTTCCATCGCTTTTCTTTGGTATGATTCCGCGGTGTCCTAAAATTATAGTTTACATTACCAAATTTCAATTCTACAAGAAAAAAATTTCTAGATTTTTTTAAATAGATTTTGTACAAACCGTCCATGGCTCTGGTGGATACGCTATAAAGTGACGCAAAGTGAAACCAAATCCTTGATTTTGTCGTCTTTTTATTGTAATAACTTTAGGTTGAATAACTTGACTTAGTATCATATTTTATAAATAAACGCCTTACTAAACTTTCGGTTTTATTTGTTTCTTTATCGTTTTTATTTCGTACGTAAATCATTGATATATGTAAGTTATTTTAAATTTAATTTTTTATTTTTTCTTACAATACATTTATGATTACTATGACTTTTTATCAAATATTTTCATATTTATTTTATAAATTTGAAATTTTTGTTATTCCTCTTTCCAAGTTTAACTTGGTATTTATGTAGAGTGTTGTAATTCTTCTATTGCATAGACATATCATAAACATTGAAGATAAAATTAAAATGTGAATTATTATTAATTTGTGTGATTATAACTATTTTTTAAATTTTCTTTATTATTAGCTATCACAATTTCCAATAAAAAATTTTTATCTCGTATTTGTAAAAGACCATAAAAGTTAGCCTGAAATATTAAAATATTTTTATATTATTTAAAATTCAATAAGTAGGTAAATATATCTATATAATATTGAATTTGAACAAACTAAGGCTCAGTTTAACAAAATTTTATTAAAATTTCCCACAGTACAGAATTTTATTTTTATATATATGCATAATATGTAAATAAAGATAATTCATTTAATATTGAAAAAGAAAGAAAGCAACTTAAGAAACTATTTGTAACAATAAAAAATATATTTGCTTTATTAAAAACACAAAAGAATATTAAAATTTTTTAGCAAATAAATACAAAGATAAATTATATAAAAACACAGAGAATGTACATATGCATATATGTATCTATATATTTTAAAGCAAAAATACTAAATATTCAAAAAATATTAATACTTATATTGTTTTGATTAATGCATTTTCTAAATAAAAAGATGACTCTTTCCAAACTTAAACTAAGATAATAACAGAATTATGGTGCATTATTTACAAAATAAAGATCCTATCTTACAACTATTTTGTATGTATAGACCTTTTATTCCAGTATTAAATCACTAAAATGTTTTTGTTCATACTTTTCAGTACATACTAAATTTATTTCTTAAAAATAATGTAACAATTATCAAATTTTTTATAATTGTATAATTTCAATATATGTAATAAATAGGTTTTATTGAAATACTAATTAGTATTCACTAAACATTAATTCCATTAAGTAACCCAAGAAATATTTGGAATCGTAAATGGAAAAAGTATAAATCCATATTTTTTTATTAACAATATTAATTAAGTAGGAAAAGGTGTCATCGTTATAAGTTCGAATTCATTTAAGGTCGAATCAAAGCAAAACTTATGAAACATTATCAAGAAGGATCATTTTGATACATATTTAGTAGGCACGTTGGTAGATACCTGACTTACAAAACACCTAATTTAATGTTTAAAAAAAATTATAAACTAAAATTATTTAAGCATTATTAGGCACTGTATCATATTCAATTTAAATAAATTTCTTTTATTTATTATTAAAATATCTTTCAATTAAATTTTATTGCTAATAGTAGCACAACTCATCAAATTGTAGGAATAAATTCAAAGTGGGTAGAAGTAGGTATACCTCATACCTATTTACTTCATGCTTTATTTAACTTCATTTCGTGTTAAATTGCAATCTATGTGTAGATAGTAATATTAGGAATAAATGATTATGAAAAAAAGATTCATAATTTTGCTTATTTTTCTTATACATACGTTACATATTATAAATTATATGCTGTACTGATTACACAAAAGAAAGTCGGGTAGGTATTTTTTTACGTAGATTATGTAGGTACATATGTATATCTAGTTAAGTGTATGCCTACATATTCAAGAAATTTTTAGAAATACAAGTAGGTTTCCGAGTTGTTCAAAGAATTTACATAGACCAATTGAAGTTGAATTGTTAAACAAATTTAAATTAATCAAGTGTTCAAAGGACTTAGAGAAACAATTGATTTGTTTTTCTATCATTTATCTAATTATGCAGGTATATCTACATAATATAGAAATAATTCTCAAATCACATGCTAAAATCAAAAATTGATTCTATATAAAACATGCGATTACTCATTGAAATGTATTTTTTATATACATACTTGTATGCATATAATGCAAATATTTTTAATTTTTATGTAGTCAGAAAAGATGCACGACGTAATTTGACTAATTTTAATTTTTCATAAATTTTCAAACATAAAAAAACCAAAATATTAACAAAATACTTTTATTCCTTTAAATTTGTATGAATTAAATGGCATTTTATATTTTCTTTTAATAAAATAGAATGAGGTTTGATAAAGGACAATTTTCTTATCTAATTTTAATGAAAATCTTTAAGAAAAAAAAATGTATAGTTACCCCACAAAAATATACTCGTTCCTACATAAAATATGGGTAGCAAAAAAAAAAAATAAAAAAAAAATTTTCGCAACTTATCAAAATTCGCCTCGAACACAATGATAAATTGATTTATAAATATTACAATTTAAATTCACTACATTTACTTTCCTAATAAATTGACTAAAATACAATTTAATTATGTTAATTAAAGAACGAACTTTTACTCAAAATTATCAATTGGTTTTTCTTTTTTCATAACTTACACAGCTTTTTGGGATCAGTAAAAAAAAAACTCCCAATACCAAACATGGGTTCATTTAATTTTTTTTCCTTTTCTTTTATGTAAAAACACAAAATTTACAATTCCCAAAACATTAAACACAGCTTTTATCAAAAATTCTTACAAATATTGTTAATATTTTATTTAAAAAACGATATATTTTCCTTTTTATCAAATATAATTTAAAAACATTTTTATCAGCAAAAAAATATTTTAATAAAATTTATGCGCGAATGTAAAAATGACAACTAAACTATTACTCGATTCAAATGTCATTGTGACAGTTATGAATAAATAAGCGCGACATCTTGTAAGAATTTATATAACAAATTTTATTTTGATAATCTCGATTTTAGTAGGGTTGTCAGGGACGTTAATGTTCTTAAATATAATTCCGCATTGTCAATGTTATCATTAGAACTAAATTTTAGGTCTGGCATAAGAAAGTTTTAAAAACTTTAGAAAATTTATAAAGTTTTTGCATGCAAGGCGTCTGGGATAATACTTTTTTAACAAAAATGAGAGAAAATTATAACATTCTCATTTTCTTAATGTTTAAAGTTTTCTCAAGCTTTGTAAAGTAAAATTTAGTGTTTCAAAAACTTTTCAAATCTTACAGCTGTCGAAACATATGTTTTTCTTAGTTATGTCAGAAGGTTATATTTTAAAAAAAAATTTTTTCATCTACAATTACATTTTTTCAAAACTTTTTCAATTAAAAATAAAATAAAATAACCAAAATGGTTTCACAAATGGTTTTTTCTAAGTTCCACACCTTTATAAACCAAAATCAAAATTTTCGGTTTTTGGTATAACAAAAAAATATTTGTTTATGATTGACAAAAACCTTGAAATTCGACATTTATCACATATTTATATAGTTTTTAAAAGTTTTTCCAAGTTTTCTGTCTGGTTTATTTTTTTTTTTTTGAATGAGAATTTTTTTTTCTTTTTGAGAAAAATTTCCTTATTGTTTAACTTTTTAAAAAGTTTTTTCAGTTTTATCCCAGACAGATCTTATTTTTGTTACAGTTTAGAATGTCATTTTGTGGTATTTTTCAATTCAAATTGGTGCAGCTGTCTAATTCTTTTTATACTTATCCTTTCCAAAAAATAATATGTATAGGTATTAAAGACATTTTGTAGGAACCTACAATATAAGGAAATTGTACGATAGATTCAATACGCATTTATTTGTAAACATATTGCCATTTTCTAAAAAGGGATCTGATAATTTCTTGGTTCATTAATCTATTAAAGGAATTTACCAAACCAGTCTTGCTTTTCACATTTTTCCTTAGAAACCTTTGTAAGTTTTTACAAACTAATTTCAATTTTTAGCTAGCGTACTCTATTTAAATTGATGCAATAGTTTAGTTGCGTAGATGTCCTTACAACGATTTTACAATCAAACAGTAATTACAAAATTGAAAATTGTATGTCTTTCTGAGCCCTTACAGAATAAAATGATTAGTAATTTCACAAATTACTTTATTACGCAAAACACTAATGCTTTTGAATATAACACACAAGTCGTATTAATTTTTACATGTCTTTTTCATAAATTTTACATTTCTTAATATAATACTCGTCATTATTTTAAAATATATTTGACGTTGTCAAAGGAAATTTCTTTTAATTTGTAATTAAATCATTTTAAAACTAGGGTTTTTTATTTTAATTAATCTTTTACAGTTATTTTTTAATTTTTGTTTAATTGTTAACTGTTATACTTTAATATTTCGATAAATATCGATATTATCGACATACCGATATATCAAAATGTTAAATATTGGGCAGGTATTCTTAAAACCTTATCGATATATTATGTTCATGTAGTCTGACACCCAGATCACAGATGTGTAATATAAAACATAGATCCAAAAAAACTATTAAACCCTTTCCAAAAATTCCAAGGTAATTCAGAAGCACCATTATTTTTAATCTAAATGTAAGTGAAAAAATCATTCCAAATTAATGAAATGTTGCAAAATTTATTGGAATAAAATAGTAATTGCAAAAAATAGCAAAAACTTGTCAAAATTCTAAAACCAAATGGGTGAAAAAGGTAGTTTTTAAAAAATTATTTAACAAAAATAATTAATTAAGAAAAAAATTAAAAAAAAAAAAACATTTGCAGTTTACAGTTATCATGTATAAAAATCCCCGTACGCATTTAATATTTGAAAATATCAAAAAGTTTTAATAATTATTTTTTAAAATATCCAACAGTTTATATTAGTGACTTTACAAATAAGTTTTTTTAAAAATAATAAGGAGTTACTACGGGTAAGAAAATGTTTTCTTTATCGTCAGTTTATTTTAAAAAATTGTAATTAGTGTACATTAATTCAGACATCCTGCTATAAGTCCGCAGCCCATAAAGCTATTTCTTTAAAACTTTCAGCACAAATTTCCTCTATTATTCGTACATTTACGGTATTGTTTCCTAGTTTAAGGTGATCTAAAATCATTTGCCCCCTTGTGTATGATCCATTCAATTCAACTGTTGCGCGCCAAATTGATTTTTGTTTTATAATTCGTTCGGGAAACAAGAACACAGCCGTCAATAAAGCATCACATGGATACCAATATTTGAAATTTTTTCTCACATATAATTTAATTTCACACTCATTTAATATTCGAATTGCATCATTTTTATATACTTGAAATTTTTCTATTCTCCAATCCTAAAAAAGTTAAAAGAAATTAAGAATATTTTTGCATTTAATAAAATTGAATTACCATTGGAATTTGAAATTTATTTTCCAAGCAAGCTTCTAATGGCAAAATTGTAATAGGACATTTTGATTTCTCTAAAACTATATGTGCAGCTTCTGGATCCATATAAAAGTTGAACTCAGCTGATGAAGTAGCATTTCCTACAGCTTTAAAATAATTTGAATATTTAAAATAATGTGATAGTGTGAATAAAAAAATTTAGATTTTTAATTAAAATTGAATACCTTGTATATTACCCCCCATAATGAAAATACTTTTCACTTTGTCAGTAAAATCTGGATACATATTGATGCATAAAGCAAAATTTGTTAGGGGGCCAACCAAAATAAATGTAACTTTCTTTGGGTGCTAGTGAATAAATATTACAAAGTACAAGTAATAAGTAAATAATTTGGTAAGCATAACTATTATTAATTTTATTTATTACCTTGCAAACGAAATCAAACATTGCATTTACAGCATGTGGTTTTTGTATTATGTCTAAGTTTACTGATTTTTCATGTTTTAGATCGCCTAAACCATCTTTGCCATGAAAATATTTATTATCTGGTTTCTCTTCCTTATTTTCCCGTTTTGGTAAAATTGCTTCATGGCACCCTTTATAAACCGGAATCTATAAAAATTTACATGATACATGCATTTTCGTAATTATATTATATTTGTATTATATAATATATATATAATTATGTTATATTTTTTATTTTTTACATTTTTTACAAAACGTAATATTATTTTTTAAATTTTAATTCATATAATTATGTACAAAATTTTAAATAAAACAAACAATGTTTACATAAAGTAAGGAAAGAATTTAAAAAAATAATGTAGAAAAATAAACAAAGTTTATAATATTCTCTAATCCGTTCCAATCTAAGCTAAGATGAATCACTTAAATATTCATGCCATTTTCTATCTGAAAATCTTATTGTTTAAGTAAAATTTTAGAACTACATAGAGAAGACTCATAGGGCACATTTAACATGACAACACATTTCAACCCTCCGCTAATTATCTATTTTAAAATACTAGCACTCATAAAATACAAATATACTACATAATATATAGTATGTTAACATTTACCTAAAACATTCATTTGATTATTTTTATAACTTTTAAATTGTACGACCTCTTAGCCTCTAGTTACACATATAAATGCGATAGCATAGTGTATGTTTTCCATACATTTTAATTTTAATAATTACATACAGAGTTTTGTAATTAAATTTAATAAAATAACGGTATATATGTATGATAAAACTTGCATACATTTTTTAAAGCTCTATAACTAAATAATGTCAAAATAAATTGAATTTCTGGCAAAGAAGAAAAATTCTAAAATATATATATTATAATTTATTTAATTTCTTTAATTTTAGGGATTGCACCTGTATATACATGTGAGACTCAACCTAAGTTTTTTTTAAGGCGAGTATAGGACTCAAAATTCAAAAAATGTGAGCACACTATATACTTACATCAAGTCTATTGACAGAATCTAATATTCTTAAAGTATTGATGGCAATGTTATCAATAGTACTATTTCCTGCAATACATGTTACACCTAAAATTTTATATTTGTCCGGCATTTCCTGTTCTGCTTTAATAAGAGTTAATAATGCCCATGCATCATCAGTTCCAATATCACAATCTAATACAATATATTCTTTTTCAGAATCGCCCATATTTCTTAATTAAATTCAAAAAGTACCTGCAAAGTGAATAAACATAAAATTTTTATTGTACTTAAATATATTGTAATATTTAATTTAAATATGTACCTATAGATATATATAGTATTAATTTATGTACAATATTCTTATATATACATACATATATACATATATGTACATATAATTATGTATATAACAGATTTATATTCTTTTAATCTTTCTTGAGATATCTTTTTAATAATTGATAGCTTGATTTTATGTTGTACCTATTATTTAATATTTATAAATTTTTTATTTTGATGTATTTATTTATTTGTAATTTCAATGAGCTGTTGAGCTCGTATAGAATTTATAATATGTACATATTTAGTTACATTTATGTTTTATCCAACATAAGAAAAATTTTAAATTATTTTGCATTTAATAGGAAAAGCCTATACCAAATTCATATTATTAGTAATTTTACTGCTATATAAGTATTTTTCTTTTAATTTACAGAATATCGAGGGTTCGTTACAGAATTTATAATATCGAGGATTTATTAATGAAACGATATGTTTAACAAGTAATTAATTTTCTGAAAGAAATTGTATTCATAAGAATATTTTACTTTTATCTATTTAAAGTTGATAACAAAGATAATAATAATTTTTTTGTAATAACTTTGATTAAAACTAAATCAAATTGCATTATTATAACAATAATCAAACTTTTTTATTTTGCAATTTAAATTTTCTCATATATACATATACATATAATTAAAAATATAACAATATTTGAATTACTTAATTTAAAAAAATTAATTAGAATAATGATTATTATGGGTTATAAAATAAATATAAAAATTATTAATCTTTAATACAAATGCATTTTTAAATTGCATTAAAATTTCAAATACATACAATTTCTTGTCACAAATATATGTATAGTTCGTCAATAGTTGTTTTTAAATTAATATTCAATATATTTGTGTATCTCCGAAAAATTTAAATCTTATAAGTACTTATGTAAAAAATGTAATAATTTTTCTTAATATCTTATCATTCAATAAGATTACATATGTGTGTACAATAAGTAGTATATACAAATTATTTATGTAAATATGTACATATATGTATGTATTTATGTAAAATTTTAATAAAATATTTTATGAGACAGTAGAATAGAACGGAAGTAATCACTTTACTACCGTACAATACTTACACAAATTTATTAAATAATTATTTTAGTCAGCTTTTTTATAAGTTTGATGTTTTTGTTTTTCCTTAAATTTTTAAAAATTAACAAAAAAAAAAATCGGCTTTAAAACACACAGTACTTACTGACACTAGACTAAATTTAAACGTATAAGAAAATCAAATGCTAACTAACTACTGAAATTAGAAATGAAAAAGCTTGTACAAGTTTTTATTCCCGTTTTTTTCTCTTTTTCATTTTTATTATTTCTATATTTTTTTTGTTAAAATTATATTTCAAGAGAAGTACTAAAACTGAAATACAATTGAACTTCTGATATAATGAACACAATATTTTTGTTTAAAAAATTTTCCTGTGGTATTTTAAAAATACAATATTATAATTCATAATAGACTTCTAAAATAAGTAATAATATATACAAAGTCTATATTATGAATGTAGACTATATGTACCTAAGCTAAATTTGTATTATCGTATTCGAGAGATTCGAGAAATTTAAAATTTTTAGAATTCTCTAGCGATATAATAAAATAAATCATACAGCCATATTCTGTTAGACGTCCCATATCTAATGGGATATTATTCAAAAGTATTTTGCTTTTCAATAAAGAATTTCAAATTTTGGAATTGTCTTGATTCAGAAAATTATATAAATTTTTGAATAACAACCTATTATGGATGTGTGTATACAAGTTAATCATCAATTACTGATAAAACTATATAATTTCCCAAGTATCGCCCCATTTTTTCACTGCTAAATGCATTAGTATAAATTTTTATTTTTATTTTATTGTTTTTAATTTTTCAAACAGTAGTCCAACTTATTGGTGTGTTACTGTGTATTAAATACATAATTATAGAAAACAACATATTATTATTAATTTAATAATATGTTTAAAAACATATATGTTATCATTTTGATTATTTACTCTGAGAAGGAAAAATTGAGAATTTTAATAGATACATACATAATAATGTATTTTACTTTACTGCAAAATATTTGAGATTATTATGATTAATTTCTGTATGATAACAAAACAACTATTGTTATCTGTAAGAGCGAGTACCTATCATAATTTTCTTTACTCAAAAAATATCAAGTAATTATATTTAATCAAAAAAATCTTTGCTGAATTTGCTGCCAATAATGAAAAATATTGGCAGGAATATTTTTTGATTTGAAAAAAAAAAGTATATACTGCTCTCTAGCTAGAAAAATTAAAAATTTTAATGTTTGTAAAGTAAATACGTATTTTTTTTTTAATTTTCGTGCTAAAAATTGAGAAAATTTTATATTGGAGAGAAAATTATTAATAATTATAAAAACTATTTATAAATGGCGAAGTTAAAATGATGCCAAAATAATATGTAAAATTACTTCAACATAAATATTAGAATAAAATGCATGTATATACAATATTATTATTGTATATAGCTATATATACATAATATAACACAATATAATATATGTATATATGTACAAAAATGTTTTTTTTTCATTTGTATTGCCTCTATAAATGGGGTTTCAATTAATTTAGATAATTACTTCGATTTTTTTCTTCTGATTAAAAACATCACAAGTAATTTCTTAAGGCAAAAATTTAAATAACGAGATGGTGGGTATAGTGCAGGTAATCAAAACCAAGCACGCGAGATATACGCATAATTTTATCCAGGAAGAAGGTTTCCAGAGTTTTTCACGTACTCAGATTTTCTCAAGTAGATTGCGTGAGACCGCAAAGCGTTGCTTTTCAAATATATGTAATAAGAAGGAAAAATCAAGTAAGATGATATTACTGAAGATGCAGTATCGTCGTTGATTCAACGTAATCTCAGGATAAGCATCCGAAGAAATCCAAATATTTTTGGTATTCAATAATTTATGTCCCTATCAGATACCACCAGTGCAAAAACTTTTGCAGTTAAGACCATATAAATATAGGTTGTAATTTTGCAGATGGTTGCAAGAAAAGAAATTTGATGCATCGGATTTTATGGACCGATGATTCAACATTTACATGTAGGTATATGTTTAAGTATCACAAACAAGGTCACTTGTGTGAAGGAAATTCTTATGCTACAAGAACTTATTCATTTCAAAATCGCTTTTCAACTATAATATATGGATGGGTATTTTAGGCAATATTATTTTGGGACCATATTTTTTCATAATTCTCTAAACGACCCAAGTTATTTAGAGTTTCTAAACCATTCGCTGCAAGAATTATTCGAAGATTCTCCCTTGGTAATGAGATATTTCATGTTGTACCAACACGATGGTTTTCCAACTTATTGCCACAGAGACGTCAAAAGGTGTTTTGATTTACATTATCGCAACAGATGGATGATCGGTAAAAATTGCGCAATTGAGAACCGCTCAAAACTATTTGTACTCTGAGTATATTTTTATTCCTCAATATTTCTCTACAAATTCGAGATTTAAATGAAATAAAAGGGACAGGGTATAAAGTATTTAAAAATAACTGTAGTTAATCGAAACTAGTTACTGGATTAAACTGCTGTATTATGATTATTTTACAAAATAATTTATTAATTTTTAAAATTGTACATATGGAATTTATAAAACAAATTTAACATTTTTACTTTTACAAAACTACATAATTTTCCGAAAATAAAAAAAAACATTTCTATTGGTTGTTATTATTGTAAAGATAACTTTGATATCGTTGATTTTTTAAAAACGAATTCGTATTTTGTCTTCTAACGAATGGATTGTCAATATTTTGTGTTTGAGTTGAATAATCTGGTGCTGGAGAATGTTGATTATTCAAATGACTATTATCTGGTGGATATTGTTCATAATTCGCAAATCTACTCTTTCTACTCATCAAAACAGCATTTGATAGCTTAGATGCTCTCTCTAAATGAAAATATTAAAAACCAAGTATTTGTAAAAATTATTTTTAATAACATTTTTGATTTTACCAATTGCAGCAGCATCTAATGATGAAATTGGTGATGGAGCACGATTTTCAATTGATCTTACAGCTACAACAGCTTCATTTCTACTAATAATAAAAAAATTTATTTATTTTTTTTATACACGATTACCAAAAAAAAAAAATTTTTAATGGTATTTTTTTGAATATTTGTTTCACACAATTGTGTATGTTTTAAAATTATTATATATTTACAAATCATATAATTTTCATAATTTTTACATTATGAAAGCTTCTTAACATGCATTTAATGTAAATTTCGAAATAAAGTTTCTTATATTAATTTTTCCCTACCTCGTATCATAAGCTCTAACGGCTGGTCTTGTATGAATTGAATGTGCTATGCTTAAATTTTCTTCTTCAACAGGCTTGATCTAAAATATATTTTAGAATAATATTTCAATACAACATATGGTTAATATAATTTGTATATATGTACATATAAATAGGATACACACCTGCTGTGCCTTTTTAATAATAAAAGTTTCCTTATATAAAACTAAAATCATGGCAATATTTACTATCCACAGTATGAAACCTCTTAAAGCAACAAACATCATACTTAAAGCAGCTATTTCTTGTGTTAAAAATATTATTCCAGTTGTATTGTTTCCAGGATCTTTTGGGAATTGTAGTGCAGATGTCTTTGAATGAAATATATTGAAATCTAATCCAAATATTATTCCTAATCCAAGATCCATTAGTGATAATGATAAAACAATAAATATCCAAATGAATAGTAGTGAATTCGTCCTTTTCAAATGTTTAATATCGATGTCTGGAGTTATAAGAGAAACTATTTTTTTTTAAATAAAATTCCCTTTATACTTATTACGAAAATAATAAATTTATATTTCGTAAATGAACATACACAAATACGTACGTATGTACGAGTAAATAAATGAAATTATGTAAATTATTTGAGAAACTTTACATTGTAAGATGATTCTGCTTTTTTATTGTATAAGAGATGGAAGAAGTATGGAATGATTTTCCGATTCGCAATAGTTGCGAGAACAAAAATACGAGGAAGAGAATTAAGAAGCGACATCACGCAAACAACATTATAGTACTACCATTTAAATTTTTTTTATACTTACGTGTTATTAATGACAAAGAACTAAAAAACCAAAAAACAGACACTGCCAAATAAACCTAAAAAAATGTAAGTTATTGTATTAGATATTTTTTTGTTTACTTTTTTATTTAAGATTTACTTTAAGAATATAGTAATATGAAATAAATTAATTTTGTTTTAATTCACGCACTTAAACAGGACAATAAAAAATTTATTGTCCTATTTTCTACACATAATGGTCTTTACGTTTCATATATTATTTCACATTGATTTTAAGTCGTTTCTAAAAATTTCTTTCAGTTTTGGATCAGTTTCATTTCGCATTATACGAGTAGAAAATATATAAATACATGCATATGTATGTATGGTTATATAAATGTTAGATTTTTTTCATATTAACTAGTTTTATAAAGTCATAGAGTGAAGCAATTTCCATGCTAAAATTTTTAATTATATAGCTCAAGTCCAGATTATATTAAAAATTTCGAAAAATGAAAAAATAAAATTTAAAGTTTGTAAAAAAAAGTTGTGAATAAATAATTCAATTAAAACTTAGGCCTTCATACAAAGCACATTCGATAAATCTGCAAACTCTACAAAGATCGTGCCACTCATAAAAAGCGTATTTGAAAATGACAGTTATGCTGAAAGAAAGGGAATTTTTTATAACTACCGTAAAAAATTTATAAATTAGAAGAATAGCATTATTGGAAAATTGTTGAAGAACTACTCGACTATGTTACAAATTTTGTAAAAACAAAATATTCAGTTTCTGAAGATTTGTAAATATGTGTAAGATTTAAAGTTTCAGTGCATGAATGAATTATCAAAAACCGCCTATACGCAAAATATTGAAATATTTTAAGTTCAGTTTGTGTACAAAAAATCTATGTATGTATATTAAGTAATTAATCGATGTATAAAAATAATTATTTTTATTTCTCATTCAAATATGTAAATCATTTTCATACAAAAAATATGAAAAAATCTCCTAAAAAATTTGAAATTAATTGATTTTCTCTATTTGTATATATATTTATATACCTACTTACCCAAATCCAAATATTAATTTGTGACGGTGTTAAATTCAATTCAGTTTTGAAGTCAATATTTCTTTATATTATATTTAAAAGTAAGGAAACAAAAATTTTATAGATTAATAATAAATTACTAAAAAAATCATGAAAATTTAACTTACGGAAAATTTGAACATTCTGATGAATAAAAATAAAGTCGATGAATTGTTAAACCAATTATATTACCAAAATTTACAATTAATCCTTTTTCATATTGTAAAACGCACATGTAATATAAAATCCCTGTTATTGCAAAACCAATCCAAATAACTGATTGAATCTAAAAAAGGACATTTAAAAATAAAATTTAGAAATGATTTTATTTTCAAATATTCGCCTAATATTAATTAAACACTCATAAAATATAAGATACATGTAAAGATGTTAAAATATAAGATTGCCGTTCTATTTTGCAACAAGAATAATCGTTTAAATTTGCCATTGCCATATAAATTTAGAAAAATCGAGATTTGTACATATTTTATATATCATTATTTCTTGGAATAATTAAAACACAACGCAGCAATTTTGAACGCAAAGATTTTTACATGTTTTTCATTTGATTTTAAAATGGGTGCAACATCGGAGCAATATTGTAAAAAAAGCGTCCACACGGTACACGTTTTAAATGTACAATATTGTTACAATATCGGTCAAATATTGTCGGTTTTTCGAACCAATATAAATGAATAACCCTGACCGAATGCTATACAATGCTCTAACAACAATACAAAATTCGGAAAGAAAAAAAAATTAAATGGATTTAAGACAGGTTTATGGAAAGAAATTTGTGTTCAGATATAAAATTTTACTGAAACAATCAAAATTGACTGAACATAATGATTTTAAACATTATTTACGTATGTCAGACAAGCAACTTAACTTCGCTCTTGAATTCATCAAATTGAAAATTCCAGACAATTTAATGCTATTGGCAATAACACCAGAAGAACGCTTGATATTAAACTCTCTAAATTTCGCATTCCCAAAACAAAAAAAAAACAAATAATCTGTATAACACCCACTTCATCTTATGATATATAAATCTTCCGTGTTACAACCTGTTTTTTTTTAAATTTAAATTTTAATTAATTTGCATTCTCGACCAAATTTTTTGTATTCGCGCAGTAATTCGAATATTATGCGTTTTTAAGGTTAACTTTTTGTTTTATACATTCTTCTTGCATTGCTTTATATTTTTTAAAATTTTTGTTAAAACTTTATTACAATGTATCTATATTCTTTAAGGAGTATATGATTCGTATAAGAGAACTTCCATATACAAAACAAAATTATTTGAGTGCATCTACACCCTACGATATTCGTTTACAGTATCGTAAAACTTTTAGTTGAGTTCATACAATATTTTTACAATATGTGGGTAGTTTTGTATGAAAATCTTTAACACATAAATTAATTAAGATTAAAAATGAACGTGAATGAATTTATTGCACAAGTTTATGCAAAATTTAAATATGAATTTCATATATTTCAGACGCCGAATTCGGTATTCTATAATTAAAAATTTGAGAGTTTTATTACTTTAATTAAATTACGGTAATCTTTCTATTCATATTTTCTCCATTTTTATATTTCTTAATTAAATTTTTAATTATTATAAATTTTAAATTTTGTTGCAAATAATAAAATAATTTTCAAATCAATTTCAAATGTGTTATTGTAAATTGTTAATATTGTTTAATTAATTTATATGTAAATGTTATCACTTTACTGTTAACAACAAAGTTATGTTAAATATTTATAATCAGAATGATAAAAAAATATATATATACATTTTAATAAATAGTTGTTAAAAAATTTTTTAATAAATTTTTATGAAATCACTATACTCTAAATATACAAAAATTACTGGATTAGTCATATAAGAATTGATTAAAATTTATAAGGTAAACAGTTAAACATATATTTAATCAAAATATAAAATTATCAAAAAACAGCTTATAACTGATTATGTTTCAGTGTCATAGAGCCTATGTATTCTTAATGCATACTTTTAAAAATAATAATTCTATAACATATAATGTGCTAACAGAGGGATACGTAAACTCGCATACGCATAATATGTATATTATAGTTTACACATTAATTTGAATTTAACAAAAAATTCTTTAATAAAATATTATTTTTGTTTCACAAAAACAAAACAATTAAACTATATGTATGAACGTTATTTACTAACCACTCCAATAATACCAGCCCATCTTGCAATAATTTGAAATACTCTAAATCTTGATTCGATATCTTTTTTAATAACATTCTGTTGCATTCTATAAAATTTTAGAATTCACGAATTTTAATATATGAAGAAAAACTATTTTTTTTTTTTATTTACAAAATATCAGAAAATTTCATTAAGACTAATTTTATTATATACGAATTTAACCTATACTTGACTAAAACTGAAAATAATTTTTGCTATAAAAATTCTTTTCAAAATTGCGGTAATGAGGATTTTCACCTGTATTGAAAATCAAAAGCTTTTTGGAACTTTTGTTATAGTCGCGTTTTATAATTATGAAATGATAATAGAAGATAAGTAGCGATAAAATTCACCTTTATTGATCTATTATCAAAATATATTTACGTACATTCATAAAAATAACGTATTTATGTATGTACACATATTGGTAGGTTACTATTATAAAACAGGTGAATAATATATTAGTATATACAACAAAAAAAAAAGTATATCGTAATATAGTAAAAAATAATTCATAATAATTTAATTTTTCAGTAACCATATAAATTCAAGGGGCTAAAAGTTTTATACGACCATGTAGATTTCATATAGGTACATATTTTATAACTGAAATAAATGTTGATAATTAATTTTATATAGACTTCATTTAAAAAATTTCAAATTACTGTTTCGTTTATAATAAATCTACTGTATTTATATATGTATTTCAAGAGCTATACAAATATGTTAAAATATATATTTTAATATACGTATGAGTTATTTCACATAATTCAGTTACACTAAAATTCTGGAACGATTATACTATATACATACATATATACTTTTCTTATGTAGGTAGACTCATTAAACTATACGTTTAATACAATTGAGGAGCGTGTAGCTAAATTCATGTATGTATTTTCACTTATTCCGTGCACAAGTTCATAAGGGTACTTAAAGATAATTAATAACAAAAAATTGGGTTTTAGTTCTTATTTTTTAGCAAAAGAGAAAGAGGAAACATCTCATGCCAACCAATCTTTCCATTTTTGAATTTTAAGTACACTATATTATTCTACAATACTTCGCTTTTTACAATATACATACATACATATAAACACTTTTTAATTTTTCTTTTTCAATTGACTTGATATATATGTATATGTACATACGTATGTTTATACGTACTAGTTTCCTTCTATTCTGAATTATCAAATTATATACTTTTTCTCCAGAACTCAACTTTTGATTTTTGCAATACACAAAATTTCTTTTTAAAACCCATAAAATCATAAATATTGAAAAAATTAAATTTGACTTCGAAACTTTCAGAAATTTTCCAAAGCAAAAGAGATAGGTAGTAATCAAAAATGTTTTTAAGTAAATATGTATATGTAATTAGTGAATCAATGCCAAAAAAAAATTTTATAGTTTATTCAAGAATTTTTGAATAATCCAAAAGGCGTTTATGAGAACAAATGGCGCTGATCTTGTTCAACTTTACATGAATTACAATTAAGTTTTGTTAACTTGTTAGCATGATGTTTCGGATTATAAAAATTATTTTTATGCAAAGTCAATGATACAGATAACACATATACCAACAAATACAAAGTCGACCGCTATAATTTAGTAAAAACAAAACTAATATTCTGTCATGAAACCAAAATGAACTCAAAAATACATACACAATTTATTGTAAGTTTTTAATTTTTCAGATTTAATTTTTTAAAACTTAAAATGATTATAAATTTAGCATAGCCGATTAATAAATTATTGATAAATTTGATAATATACATATTTATGTAGATAATGCGTATCGATATATGTATATATGTACGTACATAATAATTTTAAAACGAACATAATATAATATTGGTAATTGATTAATGGTTAACTTTCTTATTGAATGGTTAGTTTCAAACGTTGCATACATTTAGGAGAAGCTAAATAAATCAATTTAATATTAGAAATTAAATCGTGATTAATTTTGCAGCAGAAAAAAAAATCCTTTGAAATAAAAGTTGAATTTATGTTATCATTCTTTCAAAATAATACACATAAATATAAATATGCATATTACAATACATAAATAATAATAGACATGGCTAAACAGTTAAAATTGCAAGGACTTAAATTATTATAAGAACATTCAAAAATAAAAAATTTTTGAATGCATATATCTCTTAATCCAATGGAGGAGCTCTCAAGGTTAACAAAGATTGTTTTTTAACAAAAATAAGTTTTTCGTTAACTATATTCGTTCTATGTTAGATAATTAAAAAATTTTATGGGAAAATGTTTCAAATAATAAATTTTCCACGTATTTCGTGGATTTCGTGATATTTAATGTAAATAAAATTTCAAAAAAATTTTTATTTACAGTAGCGGCAAATTATTAATGCAAGATGGACTGGACTCAAAGATTATTAATGCTCATTACGTTTTTTATTATTATTAATAGCCTTTATAGTTTATTACAATTATAGTTGACCATAATATTGAAGATTCTGAATTGGCATTTAGTTCTATTTTTCATTTATCTATTTATAAAATATTGGCAACTAGACTTTATTAATCTCTCTTGGCAACGAAGAACGTATTGATCACTATGTACAACCAAAAACTAAACAATTTTATTATTAGTATACTACGACTACTTTAAATGAAATAATTTACATTTGTACATATACATATACCTACATATATAATTTTTGGTATAGTACAACTCTGATAATAAAACGTAAATTGACAGCTTTTACATCATATAGGTATGTATGCATGTATTGATTATAAAATAATAAAAAATTGTCGCTATTCAGTTTTCAGAGTGATTTGCTAATGGATTGAGTTCATTAAAGCTCTCTACACCCAAGTAATCCGGATGCTAGCTGATTTTGACTGAAAATCTTCATTTTCCTTTCGAAAAATCTGGCAAAATATTAAAGTCAATATTTTAAGTACATTGTTATCCATTTCTCGACTTGTATCTAATTAGAATTATTCGAAATAGAAAACTAAAAAAAAAACAGACTATATCGTCGGCTGAGAAAGAAAACAGCGTATAACATTTATACGTCGTTATCCGATTTTATCACCATTGGATTCTCCATAGTCGATTCTATAAGTTGAGTTACTTTATATTTCTCTATCTTTTCATTCTAACATACTTTTTAAATAAAAACGAAAATATTGTATAAAGCATTTTTAGAAACTAATTAATAACAAAATAGCGTAAAATGCGTTTACTTTGTTTTATTGCCAAACCGTAACTTTTTACAAAATTTAAAATAACGTAATGAATTCTTACACTATTTTGGTAGAAAATTTATCATTCAGTTGTTAATTTCAATACCAAATAAAAAAGTGTATGTTACTTTTACACGCTTTTTAAATTTTAATAAAAAAAATTTTTGCAATAAACTGAAAAGTAAAACGGTGTAAGAATTTGATACACTGTTTCATATTGTCTTATACACTACTTTAATTTTGAATTTTGAATCGTCTTCCCTGGCAAACAATACAATAAAACAGCGTACAAAACAAACGTACATATGTACATTATACTTTTACATTTGTTTAATTCTATATGCATCTTCATGTATAAGACAAATATTTTTAACAAATAAGTGTTCTGTTGGATTTTGTTGATCAGTACAGAACTTAAAGTTATAACTTTTTTAATAAGTGAAGCAAATAATTAATAATTTAAGGCAAAATTTTATACTCACAACAATTAAAATAATTTTGTTGTGTTACTCAAAAAGAAAAGGAATAAAAATTTTAATGATGTGAAATTTTAATGAAGAAGTGGTGACATTTTTCGAAAAGTCACCAGAAAATTCTATTACAGACTTTTCTTCTGGTTCTGATGACAATTATGAACCTAGCAAGAGTTCAGCATCTGAAACGGGTGAAGCGGAACCAGAAAAACTTACAGAATGTTTTATAGACTAAACGTTTGATAATGAAACCATTACACCTACATCACCGGAAACACTACTCGAAAAAATTTTAGAAAGTGCTAATCTAAGTGAAAATGTAAAAAAGCAATAAAAAAAATTAAAAAAAAAGAATTCAAAGCAAAAGAACGTTACAACGGAATTTGTAACTACCAACACAATTGCGTTGAAAAATTTCCTTAAGATGCAAGAATTAATAGTAATAATTCGTATTGAAAGCTGGGTGATTATGGAAAGAAAAGATTATTTCTAAATCATACTTTCACACACAAAGTATATACAAGAAAACGACCGCGAATGTCTCGAAAAAATTTTACGCCTTGTTATACATTTTATGGTAAAACCGTTTCCAAAAAAACTTAACTTAAGCATTATAAAATACACATAAAAGTTGGCTAGCATACTTATAAAAGAATCTTTAATACAAAATTTAGTTACTCGTTTCATGTGCACAATATGAAAACATGATCAATCAATCTTAGTTAGAAACATTCAGTAACATTTTATCAAAACTTGGCAGAAAAAGCCTCATCTAAAAATAATTTATCTAAATTAAACGAACCAAGCTATTCAGAAGACGAGATTGAAGAGCTATAATTAATTTTTAAAACTAAGTTTCAAAATTTCAAGTAGAAATAATGTACATTTGAATTATCTTTTATGTTAATATTATTTATTTTTGTTTACGACTTTTCATGTTACATTAATATCGATAAAAATACCTGTTTATATTTTCATACGTTGAGTTAAAGTATGTAATGTTAATTTTGTTTCTCAAATTATACTAATTTTTTACAAAATAAAATAACGTATAAATAAAAATGAAATGGTGTATACCATACAAAAAAATTAAAATGAAACAGTGTATAACTTTCTTCATACAATTTCTACCAAAAATAAAATAGTGTAAGAAGTACCAAGAAATTTCAAACCTCTAATTTTCTAAGATCTACAAAAATTTATTTAATCAAATTTATGCAAATAAACTATTTATTCCCCCAAAAATGTTTAACATAACTTTTCAGGATAGTCAAAGATGACGACCGGAAAATTTTAGATTCGAAACTTCATTTTCATTTTGCAAAAAACTTCAAACGCGATTTACTCAAAACTATACCTTTTTTTATACGCTGTTTTATTTCTCAGCCGACGATATCGTCTGTTGAGAAATGAAACAGTGTATAACGTATGTGACGTATGTATACCGATCACACACTTTTATTCAAATTAAATAAAAAGAACATTTAATCAAAAATAACATAAAATATTTCCATTATTTTAATTATGATAAATACAGTATGTATAATGTATCTGCATAATGTACTGTACATATATAACTTAAACAAAGTGGGAACTTTAAAATAATAAAGTAGCAAATGAAATATTAAAAAAACAAAAACCTTACATTTCAGAAGCAGTAACTATTTTTTTTTTATTATTTAAACCAATTAATTTTGCCTTTTTTCAATTGAGTTGACCCACATGTAAGTATACATTAAGATGACATCTAGTATTGTCAAAATTTGGAAAAAAATTACACTAATTTTTAATTTTTTTTCTTGCAATAGAAATTAATTATTTTGGAAATTCACAATTCAAGTAAAAAAATGTGGCAAGAACCTTCCTAAAAGGCTAAAAATCTAGAAATCACAGATAAATCTTGCAATCTAGCATTACTGCAGCCTATGTATATCAAATTACGAGTATATATCAGCGATTCTTAAATAGGGGATCGCGACCAAAAATGTGATCGATGGCAGTATAAATATGATTGTGTGATAATGAAAAATTAAAATTTAACAAGTTTGTCTTATTCGATAGAAGCAAGAGTGGACAAGTTGGTTAGGAAGCATAAACGAAAAAAAAACCATTAAGGCTTAAAATCTTAATATAACATATATGTAAACGCATTACAAGTATATTATAACATGAATTTGAAGTATGTAACTATATTAGTTTTAATGCTTAATATTTTATTTTTAAAGTGTGTAAAATATATTTTTAAATATTAATGCAATAATTTTAAAATCAAAAGAGCGGGGGTCACGAAAGCATTGATCGTTAATTTTTGTGCTCGCGTTGTAATGAATTTTGAGAAACGCTGGTATAGATCATAAGAATAGTTACGAAAATTAGATAGAGTTTCATATTTCGATATAAAAAATAAATATTAAATCTTCAATACGTGCGTAACTATACACTTTTTCGTTAAAATGAAAGTTCGAAATGGCTAGAAATATGATGTCGGTCCCATAAAAGATTTTCCGTACGAATTCGGTAAAAGATTAATTGCCGAACAACTGCGATATACATATGTATGTATGCATGTACATATGTATCTATGTATGTTCATATAATAATGCACAAAAACTTAGCATTTAGAAATTAAAAAGAATGGATAAAATATTTTTTTTTCTATTCAATTCAATTAAAATAAAAGTTTTTTTATTAAATAATTTCGTTAATTCCGTTATAAATCGAAAACCCGTAAATAACTTATTATACTTATATATGTATCTACATAGATGTATAAAAAATAACTAATAAAACAAAACAAAAAGATCTGAATTAGGTATACAATGTGTAAAACAATTTATAATATTGTATATACCTATACTTATCTCAATAATGTGTTTTAATAAGCATATAACTATAAGTAGGTGTGCAATCATTATAAAAAGCAAAAATAATTTTTAAAAATACTCAAAACTTATATATAATAGCTGACAAAAATGCTGACAAGAAAAAGAAAATTTTGTAAAAGTGGCGTATTCGAAATTAATTTTCGAAAAATATACACTAATACTGATACATACAATGGTATACTTAACAAAAATAAAAAAAATAAACATACTAGTTGCTGATAAAGCATTTTAATTTTGCTTTTTGATAGCTATACTCAAATAAAAGACAATAAAATATAAATAAATAGATTATTATATATGATTACTATTAATGCTATGTATATACAAAGCAAATAACACAATATATATATACAGAAGTACATGCATGCATACAAACAACAGTATGTAATAATATAAGCATATACAAAATGTGTTCAACGATATAATATCTAAAAAAAAAACTCATGTACATGTATAAACGTATGTTAAAGTTATATACGGAAAAATAATATTAATACGGCTTTACACATTTTCTTGTTTTCTCAACTTGAAGTAGGTACCTATCATCTTTCTCAGATATTTGCCCTCTTTAATCGGGTATAGAGAAAAATGTTTTTGTAGGTAGATGACAGTACTGCTGACTAACCAAACATGATGAATTTTTTGTACTTTTTAATTTTTAAAAATTTTTGTAATAAATGTTGTGTATATACGAAAGAAGCTTAAATTTTTTAGGAAATGGAAGAAAGAAAAAAAATTTTATTGAAGCCAACAATCCAAAGCAAAACCAGTTTTTTTATATGTACATATGTATGTAATTTACTCGGCTTAAACTGCTTTGGGTAATGGTACAGAAATGGAATAAAAAACAGTGCGATGATTTGAATCTACCTAACCTAAGCCGTGGGTAAATTATGTACTAGGTAATGTATATCTGGTGTACATTGTTGTATTTTTAAATCAACAAATATGTACATATATATGTACGTATGTATGTATGTAATAATAAATTATCATGTTGTCATACTTAATACATACTTATATGTTTCGTATGTTGCAAATAGGCACTATACAATAGTAACTCATTGATTCATTGTACGAGGTTCAGCAAGCAATATGCACATATTTTGATAGCTAGAATAATTTGTTTTTATAATTTCTCGCCCGGTTGATTTTTTTTTTCAAAGTTTATTCAGGAATTATGTATGTTTGTTAAGTTCCTCCCTCCGAAACTGGTTCTCTTATTTCGTAACTCATTCAATAATAATCATAGACCAGAAGAACATTTATAAGGTTTAGTGAAAAATACTGTTGAGCTTTTATAACTTGC